CGATGCAAGAGGATAAGCCTAATTCTGCAGAGATTTGATGCCCCAGAGAAGGGGGACGCCTGGGGGGGGGAGGGGCTGAAGAACTCTGGGGGGCAGAACCAGGAGGGGGCAACATTTGGAATGTCACTAAATAAAATAATTAATTTTTAAAAAGATTCTTGTTTACACATTTGATTTTCCTGCCTTTGTCATTTAGAAGGGATATTTTGGTCATTGCTACCTTAGGACCATTCACTAACTAACACACATGTTCAGTGGCCACTCTCAAATCCTCAGTTCAAATTCTTTTGCAAAGATCAAACTAGTTTAAAAAAAAAAAAAGAACTGTTCAAGAACCAATACATTCTGAGCCAATCCAAACTATCTTACCAATAGATCCAAAAATCACTTTGAGACTGAGGTGGAGACAATCAGATGGGCAAAGAGGACTGCAAATTGCCACTGTCTGAAATGAACACTCGTCTGAAAGGAGCTCTTTACATCATAGGGGAACCACAGGAAGGGTTGGCACCTGCAGCGACTTGGCGGCTTCTAAATAAAGGAGAAGGCAGAGGAATTAGGGCTGCTGCTCTTTTGGCAGGAGTGGAGCAGGTACATGAGCTGGAGGAGTTCAGAAAGAGCTGGCTTGGAAGGCAATATCAGTGTGAATAAGGGGACACACAAGAGAAAAGTAAGGACAAAGGTCTTGTAAGGTGGGAAAGGGCCAGGACTGGAAATGAATGTGGGGTCCAAGGTAAAATCAAGTCTCAAGGATCCCTGGGGCTGGGGTGAGAAGACTCCAGGCAAATGAACCTGTTTGATTTTCACATTCACCTGCTTTCCTGAAGAATATTATTCATATTTTGACCACAGAATTTTTAGCACATTTTCATTAGTGCTTTTTGAGAATTTCATACAATGTATTTTAATAGTCTGACCCCTAGCTGCTTCCAAATCCACCCATAGCTCCCTACCCTCCCCAACTTCCTGTCCTCCTTTTAAAAGTAACCCATCAAGTCCAGTATGTTCTTAGGAGTGATGCCATCTGCTGGAACATGGTCCATCCACCAGGGGCCACATCCTCAAAAAATTAAGTGATTCTCTCTCCTCTAAAATCCATCAACTGTTCATAGTAACTCAAGACAGGGGTAGAGGCTGGTGAAACCCTTCCAATTCCATGACAGAATATTGAGTGGCTTGTTTTCAAGATGGCCACAGTTTCTTTTTTAAAATGTTTGTTTAAGATGGGAGAAATGATTCTGCCAGTAAAGATGCTTACTGCACACACTTGGTGATCTGAGTTTAATCCTCCGAACCCTTATAAAGATAAAAAGAAAAAAAATGACTCCACAAAGCTGTTCTGTGACTTACACAGGCACACACACAACAGCATGTCTGCCACCTTAAGAAAGAATTTTAATAATATTTACTTTTTATTGTCTAATAGACATTGTGTAGTTAAAATCAATTAATACACAAGAGTGGCATGAAGTTGGGAAAAATGAAGCAGTGTGACTCATGAACACAATTTTGGTCTTAACCCTCTCATGGACCAGCCACATGAACTTGAAAATATGTTCACTTTGCATCTGCTTAAAGGCTCTGGTAAACTGCATCTTGTAGGACTGTTGGATCTCATATATATACACACATATACATATATATATATATGTGTGTGTGTGTGTGTGTGTGTGTATCACATATATATATATATATATATATATATATATATATATATATATATATATGGCACTTGGAAAAATGAGTTACAAATATTTGGCCTTTGGTAAAACAGCTGTTATGATTGCATTCCCATGTTAGAACAGGTTACTCTTTTATCTATGAAGGTTTTTAGTTTTTAAAGAAGTCAGAACAAAACCAAAAACAAAAACTTTAAATCAACTGAAATGCTGATAAACAAATAATAGTATAACTTTCTAAGTAAAATTATACTATTCAACATGAAGTCAGGGATTTTACCAAAATTTGTCTCAAAGTCTCTAGACCCTACTTCAAAGACTGGTATTCCTCTCTATCCCTGATGCTTTACCTAAAAAATAAGAAAATTTGTTTTCATCACTACAAAATTTAGCCCAACTATGGATATTTGCTTAATTAATGGAATATGAGAGGGTCCCCCCAAATCAGGTCAAGGACTGCCAGCCCAGTAGCCACCCAGTATTTCTCAAGAGTTTATCCTCAGCTGCTATTTCTCCAAACTCTGAAAAGGTGCATAAATTACTAACTTCTACACTATGTGAAACTATGCTAAGACAGGAAAGCAGAGCTTTTATTCCTACTCCAGGCGGAGAATCTCTCTGCTTTATAATTTTACCAATCAAGAACAGCTTGCAATTTCAGGTTTAGTTTTTCAACTATGAGGCTCACCTCATGAGAATCTGGCACCTGCTCATGATTAGCTAACATTATGTAAACTAGAGTTTATTTAAAATAACCTCTGTTAGTACCACACCTCAAATGGGTAGCACAGTAGGGCTGGCTCTGGTAGTGTGCATGTGGGTTGTTGGTGTGGGTGTAGGTGAGCTGTCCCCTGAGGGCAGAAGAGCTGACCCTACCCTTTGCCAGCTGCAGCATTGGGTGAGCTAGCTTGAATAGTGCCAGAGCTCACCCTGGTGGTGCAGCTATAGGAGAGCTGACCAACTCAGTTACCACACAGGTCCAGATCCATGAATTGCTGGAGTGCATGAAGGGGCCTGTCTTGCAGATCTCAAGATCATCCAATGCAAGGACAGCTCCCCCACCCTCATGCCCTTGAGGTCCAGCTCACCTGCACCCACACCACCAGATCCAAAGTGTGTGAAGAGTCCCGTCTTGTCAGATATCCATGGGATAACTGAGGGGAGTCCTGGTGAAGATACAGTATTGATGGTGTAGCAGAAGCCAGAGGTCTCAAATCAGACCAATGACTCATTGCAATGAATGTTTGCAAGTATCAATGTGTGGACAAAAAGGTATACTATGGGACACACTGTGACACACTAAGTTTCCACAAAGAGATTTTTTCTATGCATTGTTTTATTTCTTTTTTTTTCCCCTTGGGGAGTGGAGGCTGCAAGGGCAGTAGGCAGATACAAAGGGACATTGTAGGATTTAAGTGCATTACATGAAACTCACAAGGAATCAATAAAGTTTTTAAAAAATAAATTATAAAATAAAATGACTTCTGGTGAAGGATACACAGATCTCCCTAGGAAGTAAGAATATATTTTACAGGTTGAATGGGAGCTGGTCAGAGTGAAATCATGAGGAACTCCTGATTGGAGTGTGGAGGGATGAACAGGGATAGTAAAGGAAGAGACTACTGGAATAGTTGGACATTGAGGGAGAGATGTGGAAACCATTTCCAATGCAAGTGAAAACTTCCTGGGACCTAGGAGGCTAATCCTAGTGAGAACTCCTAGTAATGGATGATATGGAGCCTGAACTGACCATCTTCTGTAACAAGGTTAGGCTCCCAGTGGTGGGACTGGGACACCAACTCGGCCATAAAACCTAGAGCCTACAACTTGTCTTGCCTGTGAGATGTGCTGGGGAAATGGTGCTGGATCAGACCTTGGGAGAGTAGCCAACCAATAATTGGTCTAACTTGAAACCCAAGCAGAGAGAGAGTCAAGGCCTGACACTTCCTGGATTATTACAAACCAGAAGCTCAGAGACCTAGAGTAGAACCAAACACAACTGAGAAAGTCAATGAAATATCTCCTATTGATATTATGCTATACTCAGACTGGAGCCTAGCATAATCACCAGAGACACTTCTCTGGCAGCTGATAGGAGCAGATGCAAAGATCCACAGCCAAACATTAGGTGGAGCCTCAGGAACCCAGAGGAAGAAGAGGAAGCATTGTAGGAACCAGGGGAGAAAAGGACACCCAGAAAACATGGCCCATAGAATCAACTAAGCAGGGCTCATGGGGCTCACAGGGACTCAGAGATTGAAGGGGCAACCTTGGAGCCTGCATGGATCTGTGCCCATGTTTAGCTTGGAGATTTCGTTGGATCCCAAACATGGGTGTGGGGGTGTCTCTGACTCTTTTGCTTACTGATAAGGCCTTTTTTTTCTCCTACTGAGTTTGCCTTGCTAAGAGGATTTGTACCTAGTCTTTTACATCTTGTTATGCCTCATTGGGTTGAGATCGCTGGGAGGCCTGCTCTTTTCTGAAGGGAGATGAAGGAGCAGTAGATGTGAGCCAGAGGGTAGGTGAGAGAGGGCTGAGAGGAAGGGATGGAACGGAGTCTGAAGTCAGGATGTATTATATGAGAATAAAGAAAAATCAGAATTAAATAAAATGACCTCCAAATAAGTAACTTGAATGTTCTAAACCCCAAAGTACCTTACCTTGAGAATTTACATTTGACCAACTCTCATCTAAACCTGACTTTGTTCTATGTGAGTGTACCACACCATTTTATGTAATAATTCCTCTTAGACTCTAAAACCTATGGCTAGGAGAAAGGGTCTTTTGAAACTGTCACTACTAGCAGAGTCTTCCAAGAGCAGATAACCAGTTAATGAGAACAAATGATCTATTGAGCAAAGAATAAAATCTTTTTCTTTTACAATTTTATTCAGCTAACAACTAAGAACATTTCTTCAAACTTTACCAAAAAGTGAAATAAAAACAAAAGTGAATAATGGAAAATAGCAGTTTACACATTTTGCTGTTTTCCTCTATTTTAAGAAACAAATTACACCATCACACATTTCAGAGAAAATCTCCATTACAAAGAGTGGTTGCTTGCTCATCAACTTAAAGATTCAAGGGTTTTTACAATGTAATACAGAATATCAAAATTCCTATCCTTAAAATCTTACAGTAATATGATATAGGTAATGTATACCTATGAGTTCTGAACCTATATAAGAATCCTATGAAAAGATAAACACTTAAAAAACATTAAAGCACAGTAAGATGTGAATTATGAACTATCAGCCTCTCTCTACTTTTAAGGTGGAAAACTCTGTTCCAAACCTAAAGGGATATCTGCCTCTAAAATCTCTAGGAGCAAGAGTCGTCGACAGGTACGACTTTGGACTTAGCCTTATCTTTTCGAGAGGAGGCAACAGGTGTGACTTTAGACTCAGCCTTATCTTTGCAAGAGGAGTCAACACCTGTGACTTTAGACTCAGCCTTATCTTTGCAAGAGGAGTCAACACCTGTGACTTTAGACTCAGACTTATCTTTGGCACTAGTGCCAGGACTGCGTACAGCTTCAGCTTGGGCTCTTTCTTCCTGATCTTTCAAAGCCTCTTCATAATGAGTTGGGAAAGCCTGAGGAACGGTCTCATTGACCTTTGCTAAAAACTCCAGGACCTTCATCTTGGTAGTTTCAGCATGGGCTCGGGGACCCCAAAGGAACTCAAAGGATGGAGGATCACTATTGGCCTCCTTTTGGTATACCAGGTACTTTTCCTTAACCAAATCTTTGGTGATGAGCTTCCGGGGCTCCCCAAAGATTATATGCACCTTCCCATCATAAATTCCCAAAATATTAAGGAATTCCCAGATATCTGCCTCAGAGGCACGATTGCCGTTTAAGAAAATCACACCCAGCAGAGGCATCAAAAGCCCGTTCTGGGGAAATGGCAGGCTAGTGGTCAGAATACCATTAACACTGGGATCTAACTTGCTAACAAGGGTGTAGTACCCGCCATTGGGCTTAATTTCCTTCACCTCAAGACCAAAAACTAGCTGAATACGCTCAGAGGCTTTCTTAAGGATCTCAGGCAACTGCTCCTTGAACCTTCTGTTGATAACTTTCAGCATTTCTCCCTTATTCGCTGGCTGTTTCATTTTGTACTTGCAGAGCAAGTATTGCATCAGGATTCCTGTCTTTCTTGTTAGAAGATCATTCTGTGGGTTCTCATTGAAGCGTGGAACCCTAGAGCAACTAGTACTTTCCTCCCTTGGACCTTTGGTACTTTTACGAGACCTTCTGTAGGCACTACCTTTACTAGCAGTAGTGGTGGGTGCCTGACCCTGAGATTTAGATTTCTGAGGGAAACCAGCAGTAGAGGTGCTTGCAACAGCATCTCCAGAATTATGATCAGAGCAGGAGGCTGACTCTCCTTTCTCTGCTGCCTTGGCTTCAGCATCCTTCAGCCCCTGGGCCTGATCTTGGACCTGGCGGCGCTTCTCACGAGCACGAGCCTTACTCTTATGTCCCCTGGGCATGATGGCTGTGGTAAGAGACAGCAGACAGGAGTGTAGCCTGGAAATCAAGTACTTTGGGGACCTGGAGGAAGGATAATGAGATCCTGTAAGTACTCTCAGGAGGATCATAACACTGTCTTTTAACAACAGGCCTATATTCTACAAGGTTCCTGTACCAACATATGATCACTAATCTAGGAATCCATGTGGTTCCTCATAGCCTCAGAAACTGTGAAGGAAGTTATAATGTGTCCAAGATGCAGCCAGCTATGCTCCCCTAGAGCTGACTTAGAGATAGCAATGGCTGGTAGGGTCCTCTCAGTTCACAATGGTACTTTTGGCAGGTTCTAGAACCTCTTTCCTGTTCTGCTCGGCAGCCAAAGCTCAACCCCTGCCCCCAGTAGCCATGAAAAGAAAATGCAGGAGGGTTTTCTTCCCACTGCTCCTATAAGGAGGTATTGCTAACAGCTCCTTGGGGATCTCTTATTCTTATTTCCAGGCCCCTTAATTCTCACTAAGAATTCTCATTTTGTCTCCTCTTTCCTCCTGTACCTTCACACACAGGATCTCATTTCACTTAAACAGGATACAAAGAAATGAGAGACATCTAAGCTGACAAACTGTACTTTGAGACTCCAAGGGCCCAGTGTTAACAGGACAGCCCCAGACTATTGTTTCCTTATACTGGGATTGAGGAATAAGTACTTTCAGTCCTCACCTACTGTTTATACACTGAATCCTAAAGTGCCTAGGGCTGGCTCCCCCATCTATACATTTAAACCTCACTGACACCTAACAGAGGGTGTGAGAGTGCCTCTGTGTAGCCGTATTTTCACCCTATTTTCCAGAGGCCCAAAACTGTAGCAGGTAGGTTAAGGCCCTCTTAGTCCTCCCCTAATCTCCTCCTTGTCTTTACTTATGCTTTCACTCACAATCTTCACTCAAGGTCTTCAATTTGAGTCTTAAGAGGGCTTAAATTCCCCCCCTTGATGATCCCTCAGACTAAGGCCCCCATTTTTCTGTTAGTCTTGGGGAGAAACTATGGGGACTTCTATGTCTGAGGCCTTGTGGGGATGACATAAGGAGGGACTCTGTGAGAGTTCTTGCAATATAGGGTGTGAGTACGCTGAATTCCTCATGAGTACCTGGAAATCTCCCCTACTGACCTGATGCCTTTAACATCAAATTAATATTTTTACGTCCCTCAGAATCCTGTGACAAAAGATAACATGAGCTACATCTAACCATCTGTACCCTCTATGGGACCCTACTGTTAGGAGGTCATGCATCTCTTTAGCTCTCATTCAGGCAAGGTATAAGCTCATTCCTCAGCTCATCTGATTCCTCCAGCCTTATTGCAAAGCCTTCGTTTTTTCTGACTCTCCAGGGATGCTGGAGTTTCCTAATATACAGAGGGAAAGGACTGTGGATTTTACTTTCTTATTAGATAGATACTTCTCTTAGTCCTCCCCTAATCTCCTCCTTGTCTTTACTTACTGCTTATCTGCTCAAACTAAAGGCTCTCACATTTCTGAAACACTCTAAAAAATTTTTAGCAGGCCTGTAGTCTCATCAGCTTGCTGTAGTCCACCGAGGCTGACTGATTAACAGGGAATAAAGAATGTGTGCTACCTTATTATGTGGTGAGTGGATCCTACTCCTTTCCTTGGCTCCTGGAACTAACTGGGAATTCTGTACCTGTTAAACTGAGGTCACCCATTCACCTTCCTTAGGTGCTTTAGTCAAGATAATGAGACCTATGCTACCATATTCACACCTTGTATGACTCACAGGAAGGCATAAGGATTTATGTAGCAGAAAGGTCTCTTCACACTTATACCGAATCATTTCTTGCTAGGAACCAGTTCTCCTAATAATGCTGAATGGTGCTTTCCAATTAAATCAAATATTAATGTCTCTGAGACCCTCCCTGAATAAAATTAGGTGGTTTCTAAACCTGAGCCTTCTAACCCTAGATTCTCAAGGCTGAACCTGCAAAATGTTTCCCTAAGACTGTGCCACTATATTTCTCTTCATTATATCTTGAGAAGAGACGAGGCAGGCCTGTGAGATGGCTCAGTGGGTAAGCCTAATGACCCAAATTTGGTCCCTGGAACCCACATGGTGGAAAAACATGACTGACTCCTCAAAGTTGTCCTGCCATCCCCACACTCACATACCAACACATAAACATAAACATACACACGCACACACACACAAATAAATGCAAAAATATTTTGAAATTAACAATTGAACAGACTCCCATTTCTACAATCAGGCACTTTCACCTTTTGGGAATTCTGCTCTGCTGTCGACCATGTGTCGAGAGCAGCAATGGGACTCTTATATCTAACTGTGTTGGAATACAGTTTTCAAGCTCTACACAGAACTAGTAAGATTTAGAATTCCCCCCCCCCCCGCCCCGACATGAGTCTCCAATTTTCAAACCCAAGCCAACATCTTGCTGAGTCATTAGAAGGGAAGTATGCACGTTTCCCAAACCTAACAACAGGGGCCTTTGTGTGCTTCCATATTTTGACTGCTGGCCTACCCACTGGTACTTTGGATGGCTTCTGCCTGGCCATGGCAGGTCATGGCTTTAATCTCAGCCCTCTGAAGGCAGAGGCAGGAGGATCTCTGTGGGCTCAAGCTCATCCTCGTATACATGGTGAGTTCCAAGACAGCCAGAGCTGCAAACCAAACTAAACTAAACTAAACTAAACTAAAATGAACAAAATCAAAAAATAAACAACTTTTTACCACCAGCAGCCAAATATTAAATAAACAACAAAGACCTCACCTATTCAGCGGCCCTTCTCCCTCCGGTATCAGGGCTTTTCCTCTTTAAAAAAATTAAATATTTACCTTGGGGGCGTCAAGAGGCTGTATGCTCTGGTCCACGTGTGTTGGAGATGTTGGAGAACAGAGTCGGTTTTCTCCTTCCACCCTGTGTGCCTCGGGCCTACGTGGAAAAGCCAGAAAATTACTGAGCTGTTCAGCCATTCTGCTCTTTCCTGGGCGTGGGAGTGGGGCGTGGGAGGAGGGGAATGAGGGGGGGTGGGGGAACATGGGAGGTGGAACGCGGGAGGGGGGGTGTGGGGGATGGGGGACCGCGAGGTGGTGGGGGGGGGGGGGCCGGGGGGGGGGCGGTGGCGGTGACACGGGGTTGTGTGTGGTAGCGTGGGGCAGGAGGGGCCGTGAGGATGGGGGAACTGGGAACTGAGAGGGTGTTGAGAGTCATGAGGGACAGAACACAGATGTGTGAAGAGGCATGGAGGCTGAGGACGCGGGTGGTGTGTGGTGCCATGGGGGGTGGGGGGGCCGTGGGCCGTTGGGGAACACTGGGGTGTGGGGGGGGGCTAGAAACCTCTCTACTCTGAGACCTTCTGACTGGAAATAACGCTGCAGTTCAGTCCAGTTCAGTCCTGGCCCGGGCCCTCCCTGGGGTGACTGCTGTGATGAGGGCTATGGAGTAGGCTTTCGAGACAACAAGGGCGAAGGATAAAGGAGGTCACACAAACCAACAAGAGTCAGGAAAGAACATTTTCTGTGGCCTACTCTCTTGTCGGTGATGGGTTAGTCGCTTCAGGGACCTTACCTTGATTCCTGAGAGAAATTTCCCCTCAGCAGACCAGGCGGACGCAGAGACAGAGGCAGCGACAGAGGCAGCAGCAGCCGCGGCAGCAACTTCTCCTCGTGAAGTCTGCCCGAGATCCTCGCCTTCCCTCTCCCAAACGGAAATGAGAAAGGACTATATCCGGTGATGTTTGCCCGGGGTCTCCTAGAGCTAACGGCAGGGGTGCGGTGCTCAGCGACAGCACTGCTTCAGAATCAGCATTCCTTGAGTATCTCTTGATAGACAGAAGAGCTTGAAATGCCTCACTGTATTCACCCAAGTCTTTCAACATCCAAACCAAGCCCAAATAAATCTCCCACAGCCCCCAATAAAATCGCCCACAGGAGAGCAATGGAGAGAACCCTCAACTAACGCCCTCTGCAGGAGCCCTGAGCATAGCAGCAGGAGAAAGACTCGGAACTCCATTTGCGGAACTGACTCTAAGAATGCCTATACAGAGCTTCTCTCTCATACTCAGATTTTTTTCCAAAATTCTTCCTTGGTTGAACGAGGGCCCTACCTACTAGAAATCACTACTTTTCTTTTGGAGATATTTCAGGCTGACATAAGATTACCTGAGTCTAGTAATTCTATATGGAAAATCGAAAATCAGATGGAGATTTGATTTGTGACCTAGTCACACACACATTATTTATTTATTTTTTTAGCACAACTTCATGACATTTAAAGTCTTTACATTCTTTTTAGGTGCAAGGATTTCTCTTCTAGGAAAATTGAAGGGTGCTCCCATTACACTGTGACCTTGCTTCCCTGAAATTTGCTGGGAAGAAATCATCTTAAATTACTGTTTTACCTGGGACTTTCTAGGGAATACACAACTGAACATTTTGTAGTGTCAACCCTATCTCGCCTATTCAGCGGTCCTTCCCCCTCTGGTATCAGGGATTTTCTTCTGTTAAAAAAAAAATATTTACCTTGGGGGTGTCAAGAGGCTATGTGCTCTGACAGACTACACATAGCTGACAGTCATATGCTGACCAGGACAAATGGCCTCTTTTGAGGCTTCTCTGCCTTTCATATTAACATTGTTTCTCCCTGAGAGATCTAAGTTAAAAGTGGAGATGATACAGAGTCCTTTTGTTCACTTCAAGAATGGATAACAAGAACACAGCACTGTAGGATCCCACGGTGTCCTATGTGTCTTTCTAATAGTCCTCATTTAAGCTTATCATATTTAAAAATATTCATTTGCAGGATAGTTTCTTTCTAAATTAATTATTTTATTTATTTACATTCCAAATGTTGCTCCTCCTCTAGTCCCCCCTCCCAGAGTTCTTCACCCCATTGCCCCCACTTCACCTCTAAGGGGGTGCTCCCCCCATCTGAAGCATCCCCCTTCCCTGGGCCATCAACTCTCTACAAGATGCATCCTCTCCCCCTGGGG